CGGCCCTGGCTGGACGCAGCAGGTCCTCGAGAGCACGGCCAGGACACCTCACGGGGCCTCACTGTGCGGCCCTGGCTGGACGCAGCAGGTCCTCGAGAGCTCGGCCAGGGCACATCACGGCCTGTGTAGCCGGAGCTCTTGGGGTCCCATCTCAGCCTGCTCAGCAGCTGGGATTATAGGTGCGTGCCATCGCATCTGGCCTCTGTGAGTATACTTGATAGAAAAATTAGATACCACTTAGGTAGACAAACAGTAAATAAGTTAAGTAGAAAACTGTGAAGTCATTTTAATAAGATCAAGGGAGACAGACCTCTTTGATAAAGATCATCAAAACATGTTGTTCAGTGAAAAAAATCAAACTGCAGAACATACCATATATGTATTAGGATCTCACTTATGTTATTTAAAAAACAAGACATGCAAGTATACACTCACACATGCATATGAACACACAGAAGGGTGCTGTCACGTGGGCTCCAAACTGCACAGCATATAAGGGGGATCAAGAAACGGCTCCCCTCCAGAGAAGGGAGAGGAATGCCCGCTGTCAGCACAGGACATTTTACATAGTCACTGAGTTTATGAGAATCAGATTGTATTAATGTATAACTTTTGTAATTAATACACCTGACATCCACTAGTATATATGATATATATAGTATAACACTGTCACATTTGTGTTAGGAAAAAACCCAAATACAAAAACGCATAATTCTGTAATACTATTTATTCCAAGCATGCATTACTTTTTTAAAGAATAGTTAAAAAAAAATGTTAAGAAGCTCAAAATGTTTACATTCTGGGTAGGAAAAATGGCATCCTGCATCTTCTACACTATTCTCTTTTTCTTTTTTTGTTTTGAGACAGAGCCTCAAGCTGTCACCCTTGGTAGAGTGCTGTGGCATCACAGCTCACAGCAACCTCCAACTCCTGGGCTCAAGCAATTCTCCTGCCTCCACCTCCCTAGTATCTGGACTACATGTGCCCACCACAACGCCTGGCTATTTTTTGGTTGCCACGTGATTGTTGTTTGGCAGCCCGGGCTGGATTTGAACCCACCAGCTCAGGTGTATGTGGCTGGTACCTTAGCCACTTGAGCCACAGGCACTGAGCCTCTACATTATTTTCTTACAAGAACTCAGATATTTCCTTTATCTAGCTGCCTTTAAATTTTTTAGAGACGTTTCTAATAAGATAATTTTCTACTTACACAATAAATCCTGACATTAAATTTCATTGTTAAGTCTGTAACTATCCTATAAAATTTATTCTTACTTTGAAAAAAGTTATCCCCAGAACTAAGATCGGTCTAGAATAGTCCTATCGACTCCTTGAACCTCATGAGTAGCTCAAAGTCAGATATTTACCTAGTTACAGCCAGGAGCCACAAAGCACTCAAGAGTACACACTGGAGCACAGCCATGTAATAACGCAAGGTAAGTTTAAAAGCATAGGCATTTTATAATTCTATGCAGACATGAACTAAGTATGAGAATAATTAACATTACTCATGATTTCTGGGCAACAAAACTGCCTCAGCTTCCCAGATTCCATCTCTCTAAGGCTGACAACACCACTCAGCACTGTAAGGTTCTAATCTAGGTGTGAAACGATCCTGACTGCCACTCCACACGCACGAAACAGTGTCAAGATTTCTCAGGGAAATTAAACTAATTTTTTCAATTTTCTTTACGGTAAACAAGGCTACAAAAATTACGTAAAAGCGAGGCTGTGACATGTCTGACCACTGACCTGTCTGCTAACATTGAGGGTCTCTGTGTTCTGACAGGGAGCACGGCTGGAGGAGGGTCTGAGTGAGGCTCCACCCGCAACGCTCCAGCCTGGGCGCAGGACAGACCTGCACTCACAGCTCAGCGCTACCATTTAGTCGGTATTTGCTCCCATGTAAGTGATTTAGCCACTCTTGAGTTTCTCTTTCCATGCTACCTATTTTTCAGAGTTGTTCAATTAATAAGTATATTTAATTGTGAAGATTAAATACAATACATGTAGTATTTTGGACAAGAAGTTGCTCAATAAATGAGGTTGTCAGTAAAGCAACGTTTTATTAAAAACATTGTTTTTCCAAAGACATAGTCCACAAATGTCCCTAGGGCACACAAAAGCGTCCAAAGTTCAAGCCTCTCTCAGAGCAAAGAACTTTGTACACAGACCAGAAATGAACAGGGGCTCAGCCTGGGTGCAGAGGGACCTGGTGACAGTAACAGCAGGGAGCCCACGCCTGGGGACAGTGGGATGCTGCTACCGGTAAGGACGGTGCTCTTGCACGAGCTAGCTAAAAACTGGGCGTATAATTGAGCCTACGGATGGAATGACAAAGGTTCAAGTAAGTACAGTCATTTGTCTGTCAACAGCAGGGATGACAGGACACAGATATGTCATTCAGCAGCTGCTGCGTCATTCAGACTCTGCTCACACAGCCCTAGATGGCACAGCCTGCTGCTCTCAGCCACCAACCTGGACAGCACTATTACCATGCTGAATAGGGAGGCAACTTTGAAACCCCATGGCAGGCATTTATGTATCTAAACATAGTTAAACAGAAAAAGGACAGTACAAATACAGTACTATCATCATACGGGAGCACCGTCACACGTGCGGACCGCTGCTGACCCAAACATCATTATGCAGTGTGTGACTGTAAATGTTTCCGGGTTCTCCCTCACCTCCTCCACCAGTGGGCTCCTCCCAGCAACCCTTCCCCTCCCACGTTCATTCTTTCCTTCACAATTACTCACTGGAAGTAAATGCTCTTTCTACAATGGCATTTTCTTAGTTTTGTAACATGTTCAGAAACCAATGGCTCTACCCCTCACTAGCCTAAGTTCTGCAGCCTGCCACTGAACCCCCTCCAAGGGGATCACGAAGCACCCTGGAGATCTGTCCTGCACACACTGGCTCAGCTGATCTGTACTGGCCAAGATGTTCTTTGTCAATACCATTCTTTCTGCTTGGATTGCCTTTTCTTTCCATCAGAATTCTAGCCACTGGAATTCAAAAACTTAATTCACACACTGGATTCCCCAACCCACAAAACTGAATATACTTTATTTGGAATTAATTTATTTTTTGAATTTCTAAAACACTATTTCCTCCAATAGTCATTCAGCTTCATATATTACTTCCTTAAATATAATCACTGTGTTTTTCAACTAACCTATAAACTAAGAGCAGGGACTGTCTTGTTTCTCTGTATGTCTCAAACCCAATCTATACAGTTACAGAAAAGTTACAGGTCTACAATCTTATAGTTTTTCCTAGCATTTCTGTGCGTAATTTCTTCATCCTTAAAATGTGAGTAATGCAGAATCTACTTCAAAGGGCTACAGTGAGAATTAAATATGATTTCATGAGTGAAGAATATACCCAGGTAGGGGATAATTGTAGGCACTGCACATAGTATGTACTCCTAAGTATTTGCTTTATATATCATTTTAGAATTTTAAAAATCAGAAGGAACTAAATTACTAAGATTAGTTTAGGTGTTTGCCAAAAGGACCCATCCTAAGTAACAGATTTATGAATGTGTGGCCAATGGAAACTGTTATCTTCAATCCTATACATGCCCAGGAGTGGGGACAATCACATGTAACTTCATTAGTCAGCCATTCAACTTCCCAACAGATGTACCTGCTCAGTGCAAGGAGCTCACAGTCACCAGGAAGAACAGTAGTGTATCACGACAAACAGTCACCAGGGAGGACAGCAGTGTTAACACCAGACACACAGTCACCAGGGAGAACAGCAGTAACACAGCCACATAGTCACCAGGGAGAACAGCAGTGTAACACAGACACACAGTCACCAGGGAGAACAGCAGTAACACAGCCACACAGTCACCAGGGAGGACAGCAGTGTA